CAAAATATTTTTGTTATCAAACGGATTACTAATTAAATTGATATTAATATCTTTTAATCCGTTTACCCGCGTTAATTCTAGTAATGTATAAGGGATATGCAGATCCGTTTTAGTCCAACTATACACGAGACTGCGACCCAAGTTTATATGGGCTTGTCGTGTAAGCCCATAGTTAAAGTAGTTTTGTCAATTAGCCTGAACGCCATTATAGCTCTCTCTCCTTCCTCGTTAGTGTAAAAATAATAATTTCCTCGATCTTCAAAAGCCCTAATTCTGCATAAACCCTAAGGTGAGTACGAAATCAAAATCCCAACTGAGAAACTTTGTTCTAAATTTCTGCGTACAAAAGATTTCTATTGACTCAATTCTGTTTCTTTGTTGAATTAAAACAGATTCGATTTCAATAATCATGGATCCATTGCCCGAACCAGTTACCTACGTCTGCGGAGGTAAATCTCGACCATCTTCTTCTTCCTCATCGAACATGGGATCTTGTTTTGAAACTCAATACTTGTGTAAAAGATATTAGCTTGGTCAATTTAAATGCTAAATTTGTTGTCTTTATTAATAAAAACGAGAAGAGAGATCAAGATTGTGGTTTTGGCTTCGTTTCAATGCGCAAATTTGATATGGCTCTTGAATCCTAATCTTTTAGAGGCATAAATCAATATGAATCATTTGTAAGTAAAAAGGGTTACATTTTGTTACATGGGTCGTTTGCTTTAACTGATTTTGTGAATCATTTGGTTGATCAGATTGTGGACAAGAGAACACTTTGAAGTCTGGGGATGTGATTCAATGCAGAGAGTGTGGGTACCGTATTCTCTACAAGAAGCGTACCCGTAGAGGTGAGCTTAGAGGTTCGATTTTGTGTTGTAATGGTGGCACAATTTTGAAATGTGTCTCTAAAACACAAATTTTTGTGTAGTAATGTTGTTTTCAGCTTTCTTTGGTCTTGTGAATGGTGGTACGATTTCGAATGTCTCACAAGATATATGTGTTATAGAGGGATTGGGTTTTCGAATTTATCTCGAGTTTACATCTTTTATAACTACATGTTGGTCGACCTCTCTTTGTATTTCGATTTTTAATCTGCTGGTTTTCTTGTACAAAATGTAGATTGTGGTGAACTTGTTTCCGGCTAATTATACGGTTGGCTATTCTCTTGCAGTTGTTCAATACGAAGCTCGCTGAGAACCACTACTCCTGATGATTGTGTTCAAAGTCTGTTAAGATGGGTTAAGACTCTTTATTTGCCATTGTTTGTAATATATATTGAACGTGGTATCTTGCTAAATGCGCCTGTTTCGGTTTTGGTTTTATCATAAGTGTGACTATGTAACCTCTTTGCCTTTTTGGGAAAGATGAATGCATTGGAATATCTAAGTTTTACATTGGTGGAACCATTGATTGGCACTATCTCCTCTAAAACTAGTCATCTTCATTCGCCATTTCAACAAGCTAAACGCTGTTTTGCTGCCTTTGTTCTTTAGTGTTCTCTGCATTCAGTTGGTCAGCTTCTAATCACCATTGCTGATTAGCAGTTTCCGCAATAACACGGGAGCCGACCCTTGCGGGATAATTGTCAGAGACGATAACTTGAGTTTCAATTTCATTAAACGTTTATCTCCAATATTACTCACTTCAGAATCCAAGTTAAATTGTCTTGCCAAGTATCTGAGTCTCAGCTTAAGTTTGGAGTTGCTTCAAATGGTCATTAATAACTGCCCTAAGCAATGTTTGGCTCTTTGTCGCTGCTCTGGAGATAAATCTTATCAGAGACATCACATCACGTAAGATCTCAATGTTTCATACCACTCTCAATGGGAATCTTACTTCAGCAACGACATGTTTGTTGGAACTGTGATTTAGACGCAGATGATGATTACTCGGGTGCAGTAGCTTCAGGAATGATCTATGGCGACAGAATCTGAACAATCCCGTCCGTCATTCTTTCAATCTTACGAATCAGTCCACTCATATGTATGTACGGTTGTACCTATTTGAAATTTTTATTATGTTGAAATTTTTTCATTATGGCAAAAATCTAAATGCAAACTCTTATGGTTAAAAGTTCACTACCATAACATAAAATTAAAGTGAAAACATAAAAAGAACCAATAAACATCTTCATGTATAATTCTAAACTTAATCTTCAGGATCAAAAGGTCTGTTGTCAAAATTCTCTCTGTCCTCAGCTAATTCAGGGCAATACCTTTGAGATAAAATCTCGACTTGCTCTGCAAATGTTTTGGATCCCTGTGAACCGATATGAAGCACCATCTGGTTCCACCGCTTTCTACAAGCATCTCCATCTCGATTCTCCAACAGATTATCCCAATCCACATCGTCGATACAAGCAGCATCCAGGTTCGTAAGCTCGTCCAAGAGCCTATAGTCATCTACGTTAGCCCATATTCCCTTTGCCACCATTGGTGATGTCAACTGATTATACCATTTCTCGCAGCAATGCACGTGGCCCCGTGTTCCAAGTTTGTCGCTTATCGCCATCCAAGGGATGTTATCTCGGAGCATCCCATGTTTTGAGTGCTTCTCATGGAATGCTTTCATCCTAAGGTCGGTGTTCACAAGATCAAAGAGATTTTGGTACTCCTCCCTCGACCAATGTCCTTTATTCGTATTCAGTCTGATTCTCCTCCAAGCGTCTTTCACATGGACCCTGTGTTTACCCATCGCATCCGCAATTGTCTTCCAGTCATTCCCGTGTTTCGTATGAAACTGTCTAAGGAGCTCCAAATCCTCTTTAGTCCATATCCCCTTGGATCCTTCTTCGAATAGATTATGCGCACGGTAGTACACACTAGATCTTGCCCTCCAAGGTAAAGCAGACTCTATTTCTTTCCAGCAACCTTTAATTTCTGGGTATTTCCTGCAGTTCATAACCATGTCTAATCCTTCATCTCCTAAAGCATGGTTATCAATGTAATCTAACACAGCTTTCTTTACTAAAGCATCTTCTTCCTTAGTAAACCGCTTACCCCTAACCACCTCATCCTCACTAGGAAAAACTTCAAGTTGATCAGAAAACTTCACCTTTTTTGTGCTTTTACTTGAAGGTGTGGTCACATCTTCAACACTCTTACTACTCTTTTCCTTCTTCTTCCTTTTCTTCTTTGCATCTTTCGTACCGTCATTGTTGTTGTTTTCTACAGCTTCTGCATCTTCACTCAGCTTCTCCTTCTTCTTACGTTTTTTCTTTTTCGCATCTTTAGCATTTTCTACAACTTCTGAATCCACATTTTGCTTCTTCTCCTTTTTCTTTTCCTTGGTTGCATCATTAGTTGTGTCATTGTTGTTTTCTTCAGCTCCTGCATTTTCACTGAGCTTCTTCTTCTTCTTCTTACCTTTTTTCTTTTTCGCATCTTTCACAGAGTTCAAGTCGTCTTCTACAACTTCTGAATCCACATTTTGCTTCTTTTCATTGATTGCATCGTTCGTTGAGGAGTCCTTGTTGCATTCTTCAACCTCAGGATCCACACTTGGTTTCATCTTCTTGCTTTTCTTCTTAGCATCTTTCGTACCGTCATTGTTGTTTTTTACAGCCTCTGCATCTTCACTCAGCTTCTTCTCCTTCTTTTTCGCATCTTTCACAGAGTTCAAGTCATCTTCTACAACTTCTGAATCCACATTTTGTTTCTCCTTTTCATTGATTGCATCTTTCGTTGAGGAGTCCTCGTTGTTTTCTTTCAACTCAGGATCCACAACACTTGGTTTCATCTTCTTGCGTTTCTTCTTAATCTCCTTGTTGGACTTGTCTGTGTTTTCTTCAGCTCCCAAATCAGTATCATCAAGCTTTCTCTTTACCGTTTCCTTCTTACCATCATTGTTCACGAGTGGTTTCTCATCCATTCGATTCCCTTCACTGTTTCCAATCTCATTACCACCACCAGATTCTGTATTTCCAACATCATCAGCTTCAGAATCAACCCTTAGCTTCGATTTCTGAACACAATTCTCAGCCTCAGGATCAGACCTTATCTCCTTCCTTTTCTTCTTCGATTTCTTCACACCATCCTCCTTAGCTTCAGAATCAACCATTAACTCGTTACTTGTCTTCTCCGATTTCTTCACACAATCCTCAGCTTCGGAATCAACCTTTTTCTTCTTAACTACAGAATCATCACCCAATTTCTCTCCTTCTCCAGAGAAACTATTCAGATTTTCTCGG